TCTCTCTCTCTCTCTCTCTCTCTCTCTCTCTCTCTTTAAAAAAAAAAGAAGAAGGACACTGGGCAAGAGCCTGCCCCGCCCCACGTGCTCCACGGACTCCCTGCCCTAAATGCCAACAGCTGGGTCACTGGAGCTCTGTCCTAGGTCCCACAGGGGAACTAGGGCCAAAAAGTCCGCCGACCTCTTGGGCATTATGTCTGTGAAGATTGATGGAGCCTTGGGTCCTTGTCCCCGGCCTTAAAGATCAACAGGCAAGAACCTAGGGTGCGAATTCAGGTGGACGGGCATAAAATTGATTTCCTCCTTGATACCTGGGCTACATTCTCCGTATTAACCGAGTTCTGGGGACAGACAGTGCCATCCACTTCTCCTATTGTCGGGGTAGAAGGGAAAACTATTTGTCCCAAAAGAACTCCCTTATTTGCTCCATAGACTGCTTCCCATTCTCACAGTCGTTCCTGGTTATGCCTCAATGTCCAGTTCCTCTGCTTGGTCAAGACATTCTTTCTAGACTTCATACCACAATCAATATCCAAGCCCCCAACCATGACCGAGCACCAGGGCTGGCCGCTTCATCCTTTCTAGCTCTATTAACAAGGGACCTAACCTTTCCCATTGACTCTACAGACAAACCAGATACTAAACAATGCCCCGAATCCAGTCATGAACCCATACCATCGAGCTTAATGGATCCTCGGGTTTGGGGGTTAAAACTCCCTCTACTGTTTCTTGCCACCCGGTTTCCATACATCTTAAAGACCCCAATAAGTTCCCCAATCAGGCACAATACCCACTATCTACCAAAGCCCTCCTAGGCTTACAACCGGTCATTCAGGACCTTCTTTCTAAAGGATACCTCTGCCCTGCTCACTCTCCTTACAACACTCCCATCCTGGCAGTACGCAAGCCTAATGGCTCCTACCACTTAGTTCAGGACCTACAATTCATTAATGCAGCTGTGAGACCTATACATCCTCTGGTCCCCAATCCCTACACACTTCTGTCCCAGGTCCTATCTGATGCCACCCACTTTTCTGTCATTGATTTGAAAGATGCTTTCTTTTCCGTTACCTTGGCCCCTGACTCCCAGGACCTCTTTGCCTTCATCTGGACGGACCCCAACACCAGACATTCCCAACAGCTAACCTGGACTGTCCTTCCTCAGGGATTTAGAGACAGTCTTCATCTCTTTGGTCAGGTCCTAGCCTCTGATCTAAAGACTTTCCGCTCTCATTGCTCCTCGTCCATCCTCCTTCAGTATGTTGATGATCTGCTTCTCTGTAGTCCTTCTAAAGACCACTCATCTCCTTCTTTGTAGTCCTTCTAAAGACCACTCAACTTCCTGGCACAAAAAGGATATCGTGCTTCCCCTCACAAGGCTCAGTTAATAACCACCACAGTCACATATTTAGGTTTTTCTATTTCCCAGGGGAAAAAATTTATCACAATAGACAGAAAACAGCATATCAGATCCTTGCCCACACCCAAAACCAAAGACAAAAATACTCTCCTTCTTGGGGTTAGCGGGATATTTTAGGGCATAGATCCCTAATTTCTCCCTTCCTGCCAAACCACTATACGATCTGGCAAAAGGCTCTCAGGACGAGCCCCTTCCCTCAACTGTAGGAAAACCTTTCACAATCTTAAAAAAGGCCCTTCTCCAGGCACCCACCTTACTTACATCTCCCCAATCCTCTCAACCTTCTTCCTATATGTACATGAGAAACAAGGACAAAGCCTAGGGGTGCTAGGGCAAAATCATGGCCCCACCTTCGCACCTGTAGCTTATTTGTCAAAGCAGCTTGATCCCACTGTCAGGGGTTGGCCTCCATGCCTTACGGCTTTAGCTTCTCTCATGACCTTCAAAAGGAGACATACAAACTCACCTTTGGCTCACCATTAACTATCCTCTTCCCACATCATTTGAAGGATTTCTTAACATATAAGGGGTTACAATCCCTTCCCCCTTCCAGGGTTTTATCTCTCCTTGTCTCTTTTCTACAAAACCCCACTATATCTTTTCAACCTTGTTCCTCATTAAACCCTGCTTCCCTCCTTCCATGTGCCCCTCTAGAGTCTCCTACACATAAATGCTCTGAAATACTAGAGACAATCTTGCCTCACCCAGTCACCATCTCCGAAGGGCCTCTTCCCTCTTCGGATCTCATCTGGTTTTCCGACAGCAGCTCCTACTTTCATGGGGATGTTAGACTGGCAGGCTATGCTGTTGTGTCTCTCTCTTCTGTCACTGAGGCTAAACCCCTGCCGCCCAACACAACTAACCAGCAAGCAGAACTTACAGCTGCTACAAGAGCATGTGAACTAGCAGAAGGGAAAAAGCTCTCCCTATACACTGATTCCAAGTGCGTCTTTCATATATTAGTTTCCCATGCAGCCATCTGGAAAGAGAGAGGACTCTTAATTACTAAGGGTACTGCTGTCATAAATGCCAATTTTATGGGGGCTGGGGATGTGGGCTCAAGCAGTAGTGTGCTCTCCTGGCATTCGTGCAGCCTGGGTTCAATCCTCAGCACCATATACAAATAAAAGATGTTGTGTCTGCTGAAAACGAAAAAATAAATATTAAAAAATTCTCTCTCTCTCTCTCTCTCTCTCTCTCTCTCTCTCTCTCTCTCTCTCTCTCTCTCTCTCCCCTCTCTCTCTCCCTCTCTCTCTCTTAAAAAAAAAAAAGCCAACCTTATTTCCAATCTGCTGCGGGCCTCTACATTGCCACCTCAGTTGGAAATAATCCACGGTAAGACCCATCAGACTGACTCTTTCCCCACTACAGCGAGTAATTCTAAAGCTGACCAGGCAGCTTGATCAGCCACCCTGCAGGCTCTGGCCTCTTCCACATTGTTCCATCTTTCCCCTGAGGAACGTTCTACTAACTCTCACCAACTCTTTCAGTTCCTTCATTCCCTATTCCACTCCAGCCCACAGAGTCTGTCAACTTTCATTCAATCCTTTTTCCCTCTTTCTTCAGACGATGGAACTCTTCTACAACAAATTACATCCACTTGCCAGATCTGCCAAAGGACCAATACCAACACCCCCTTAAAACCCAAGCCCTTGGGCTGGGGATGTGGCTCAAGCGGTAGCGCGCTCGCCTGGCATGCATGTGGCCTGGGTTCGATCCTCAGCACCACATACAAAGATGTTGTGTCTGCCAATAACTAAAAAATAAATATTAAAAAATTCTCTCTCTCTCTCTTAAAACAAAAACAAAACCCAAGCCCTTTCCCTCCCATCAGGCCTGTGGACATACCCCAGGAGCTGATTGGCAAATTGACTTCACCAATATGCCCAAGGTAAAAAACATCAAATACCTCTTAGTGCTGGTGGATATATTCTCAGGGTGGTAGAAGCTTTTCCCATATCCAATAAGCGGGCTTCTACACTTGTGGACCAATTAATATCTGACATAATTCCCCACTTTGGAATGCCCACCTCACTCCAATCTGTCAATGGCCCCGAATTTACTTCACACATAACCCAGGAGCTGGCTGGAGCTCTATCACTCCCTTGGCACTTTCATTGCCCATACTGCCCTCAGGCTTCAGGGAAAGTCAAAAGAACTAGTAGATCCCTCAAAGAAACCCTCACTAAACTCACCATGGAATTAAGCTTAGATTGGTCAAGAGTTCTTCCCCTGGCGCTGTTGCACCTCAGAGCCCTACCAAGGAAGCCATCCAACCTTTCCCCATTTGAGGTCATGTATGGCCGCCCACTCCTGCCT